GGTGGAGGGATGGGTTAGCCTGGTGATGGGTATTAAAGAGGGCATGTCCTGAATGGAGCACTGGGTGTTATATGCAAACAATGAATCATGGAACACTCTATCAAAAGCTAATGATTTAATGTATGGCAATTAACATAATAAAAAAAATGTTATTTCCCACCAAAAAAAAAAAATCAGTTTCTCACCTTCTGGTATTTCTGCCACCATTTATACGAATACTGGTCTTCCCATGAGACAGGTTTTGAAGGAAATATCTGGCATTTATTGAGGGATTCTAACTGAACTGCAGACATGGTTGAAGGCAACACACATTCAGGAAGAATTTGCACTTTAGCTTGCTGGATTCTAAAATAAAGAGAATGAAGTATGGTGTTCATTTTTAAAATAAACTAACTCAAACTTTAAGTTTCTAAACATTATGGGTAGCTTTAAATACTAAGATTTTCAGTTTTCTTTTTTAAACACATCCATAAGATACTGTTAAGATGCAAGAATTTTGAGAATATCTGTATTTCATAAATCATACCAAAGTTAAAATCAAAGATAACCTAAAGCATGGATTTTCAGTCTCACTGTGAAATGCAAAGGGAGATTTGCATATTTCAGATATAGAGTCTATTAATGAAATAAAATTTAAAAAAATAAATACACAACCATCTACTACTGCTTGATACTTCTAAATTAGTTTCTTAGACATTCTTAAATACCCTATCCCTCCCAGCTCCCCATCTGCTGCCGGGCTGTTACACCTGTCCCTTCTCCTAAGTCTAATTTAACTGGAGGAGTAGGTAGAGAAAGGAATAGAAAATCAAGAACTATTTATGTGGATAGTTAAAATAAGACTACAGAATTACATGTAGCCTATATCTGTATGTGCATTTTTTCTCCTTCTCAAACATTTAACTTGAAAATGCAGAATCAAAATATGTGTATTATCTTTTTTTAATCCTAAAAATTACTTAAACTCCCATGAAAGTGAAGTCACCATTTCCAGATTGCTACTTGAGAATATCATAACTGCAAACATCTTATCAGGAACAAATGCCAACAGGAACACTGTACGTATGAGCTATTTTCTTTTGAAGCATTTCTCCTAGAGTACAGCTCGTGAAATGTAGAATGTATTAGTACATTCAAATGCTGGAACAAATCACTGTCAGACTGACAAAATTCAATGTATTAAAGTCTCTGCTTCCTTATTAATTATGTTTAGAAATTCTCAAGTGGTTTTTCATATTAATTACTGCCTTGACCCATGAAAAGTTAGGAATGAAATTTTGATACTTCCATTTATTTATTAAATAAAAATATCTAACTTGGTTAGACTTATTCAACTAACTTCATTTCTTTCCTGGAAGCTCAAATTTATGTATGCATAACTTTGGAAAATGTTAAAAAAACAAACATGTTCAAACTATATTCAAATGTTCTTACATTATTAGAGCTCGTTAAAAACAAATAAAATCTCTATTTTCTTCACCTGTCACATGAACACAAATACTTACAATCATATTTTTAGAACAAAAGTGTGTACCTTTCTAAAGAAATGTTTAGAAATCTGATTCTTCTTTAAGGTCATCAGTAACTAAATTATGAATGATGTTTAACTCAACTATCACGTAAGATTTTATTGTATTACAATAAAAACATCAATGTTACTGAAAGATTGGCTTACTGATCCTTTTACTGATCAGTCTGCAGTACCAGCTGTCTGAACTGCCTCGCAGGACTGAGCAATGCTCTCTGCTACTTTTGCTAGACATGCCTGGGGCCTGCTGCACACAGGGGCTAGTTCTCCCACCTGCTGGGTTCTGTTTTTAACAAAACTTTTGTTTCTTCCCAACCTGTTTATAGCAGTTGTTTTGTGATTATAGTTACATAATTTATGTAAGTATTATAAAAACCAATGAAATGTGACTTAAATAAAATGGCTTTAATGAATAAAGTTGAGCAATAAAAACTGCTTTCAAATTAGGTTCAGACAGTTCTAATAATTCAGATGATTATTGGTTTCAGTTATGACAGGTAAGAGAACTTGTCCTGTAATTCCAAATAGGGTATTAATCTCTTTCTCTCTACATGCTAAGAAATCCTCAGTTATTTCTGAAGGGTTCTACGGTGATTCAATGACACACTTCTACTTTTTAATTAACCTTTCAAAAAAAACAACAACAAAACCTTCCATGTGTTCAGAAAATGCCAAAGAAATAAAGACTCTTAACTTAGAAAAGGTCAGAAGGCAGCACTATAGTTTTTAAATGAAGGGTCATTTACGTAAAAGACAGATGACTATCATCCAGCACTACCTGACTGGAGAAAAGGAAACTGGCTTGAGTTTCAAGGTGCTATGGAGGAGTTCAGGTAGAGTACGAGGAGCACCAGTTTGGAAGTCGGGGGACCTAGAACCAACCACCTGTTGCTTACTAGCTGCATCACTGTTGGCAAATCACTTCATCTCTCTAGTATTTAGTTGTCGTATTTGGAAAAAGAGGAAATTGCCCTGTATTATCTCCATCTCACCATTTCTACTGAAGGGAGTTACAGGCCAGAGGGGCAAGGCAACCACAGAAATCTCACTCCATGGAAGCCTTTTATATAAGAAAGACTCACCTCTGTGAGAGGTCTTAGCAGTGGGTCTATGGAATAATAAAGAGAACGTGCCCTTGCCAAGTCTTGTCTAACCCTATCAGTTCCATGTTTATCTTCACTAGAGTCAAACATAGTCTTTGACCTGTTTTCAGAGTTAACGGTCTACTGCCATCTTGTGTTGAAAAGAGTTTTTCCACAATCAAAAGTCAAGAAAGCCTCAGAAACATACTTTTCTCCCAAATCATTTTTCTTCTTTGGTTCCTATAATATACTATTCACAAATAATAAAAATTTTATAAGCAGGAGGATAAGAAGCACTTTAAATATGGAACTGTTAGTAAAATCTGCAGTAACAAAACAGCTTGCTAATTATCAGAATGCAGAGCCCTCAGGAGGACATTGTTTCATTCATTCACATGGCATTTATAGTTATTAAGTGTAGAACATGTAGAAGTGTTAGTCATTGTCCTCAGGCAGCTCATCTATTGAGTGAGACAGATACACAATCCTGTAACGACAGTACGGTGTGTTAACACCACGAGAGTCTGCATCATGAATGTTCTGGGGGTACCACTGAGGGCTCTGGCACCTCATCCCTCATTTTTCTATGCTTTCTCTAGCCCCAAAGGGTTGCCTCACCTGTCCATTATACTTCCATATTTTCAGTGGTATTTGTGAATGTCCACCATGTGAACAAAACAAGACAAAACTTCTGAAGTTCCATGTGTTCATAAGATATTATCTGCTCAACACAGAGGTCAGGTAACATTTTCAGCTTGGCTATAAAGAGACCAATTCACTAGGACTGGGTGAACCCCAAGAATGTGTATCCTTGTAACACTTCACAGGTGATTCTTATGTGCCAGAGTTGAGAACCACTCCCTTAACAGGTAATATGCAATCATCTGGACAAATGCTTATTCTGTTTTGTTTTGTTTTTAAAAGGATGAAGTAAGGTGAATTGGATTTTTTTTTTTTTGATGAGGTCAGTGGTACTTAAAAAGCTCGAATCATGACAGCCATGCCAAAATAACTGTTAAAACAATATACTCAGAGAATTGCCAAACTTTATAAGGTATAGAGACAACAAGCATTTATTGATCACTTATTATATAGTTAATACATTTGTGGGTGATGTGAAATTCACACCGGAGATGGGTGCTAACTGCAAATGGTTTCTGCAGCTCGGATGGAGCAGCTGGTAGGTATAACAGGCTTTCAAATATCACAGGAATGCTGCAAACACCACAGCTGTCCCGGAGTGCACACAGACAGCTCTGAAGCTTGTGGTTTCTCCACTCTCAAGAGAGGCCTTCAATCCCAAAGAAGCCCTGTCCCCAAAGACAATGCACTTTGGGGTTCTATTACTAATCTCAAACGTGCAGTGGCATGAGAATCATCTGGAAATCATGAAAAGAGATGCTGCAGCCTCACCCAAGGTTAAACCACTCTAACGGATGGGAGATGAGGATGAAACTCAAGCATCTTTAGTTTTAAAACTTCCTAAGTGGTTCTGATGCATAGCCAGGTTGGAAACTACTAGGTTATACCTTCAAAGGAAAGAGAACAACTAACTCAAATTTACGAAATGTGAAGGGTCAGTACAACAGGAAAAATATATGAAAACCACTTCATTTAATGATGTAAACACAGCTTTAAGATCTATGGCATTTCTTACCCATCTGACTGTGTTCTTAGCTCAAGGACTTTGAACCTTTGTCTTCCAATGGCTTTCACTTTCACTATCTCGATTCCAAAATCCTGTTCTTCTCGATAGGCATATATCTCTGCTGTTGTTCCAAACTGTGCTTCCCTCTCCTGTATATTACTTCCAAGATAAATTTTAAAAGAAAATAACTTTGAACATTTTAATTTTTAAATACGCAAAGTTGGCAAAAAAAATTTTAAATGTGCAAAGTGGCAAAGCAATACACACGATCAAAAAAAAATTACAGCAGTTAGCCCTTATTGCAAAGCTATTACCATTTTATTTTGAAATAACATGGGGAATGCAGATATAGAAGGCTTCAGAATGACAATCAGAGCAAAAAAGAAAAAAAAGAATTACAATTAGAGCACTCTAGGAAAGTAACAGATCTCTAGTCACTGAAAATGATCTAGGACTCATAAGGGTTTAAACTCTCATTTTCCAAATGAGACATTCTTTTACTTCAGTAGACCATCATTTCTGCTGCTTAATATTAGCAGCATTGTACTGGGGTGGGAAATCCCTGTATTCATTTCCTGCCTCTACCACTGATATCCTTCAGTTGCCACAGGATACCTGAAATACCAGTATGGCACTGGTCTATATTCAACTTATGAATTCTGAGAGACAGACAAAAGAACAAGCTACTCCTTTGTAAAAATAATCCTTTGTAAAAATAATCCTTTATATTAAAATGTAAAAGCCCTCTTTCTCTTTAAATAAGGACAGTGCTTGAAAATAAGATCCTAGAAATTTTTATTAGACACTAATGACTAAAAAAATTTCAAATACCAGAAAGTTTGTGTGTGACAGTAAATGTCTGATCTGGATGGTAATGAGAACAATAAAAATACTCCAACTTGCACTTTCAATCTTTCATCAAAATTTCTTACCTCACATCCTTATCCAGTCTCCTGTGCATGCAAAATAACAGTCAGGTTTGGCTTTAACACTGACCTCTGCTGTGACTCTGCTATGAGAGAGAATGTGTTAAGCAAATTCATTCTAATATTTTACCTGTATGCAAGAACTGCAAAGGTTCTGTCTTTCTGAATTAAATTCCGCACCATACTGACTTCCTGAGGACGAAAAAGCTGAAGAGGTAAGGTCTGCCCAGGAATCAGGATCATCATCACCTGTGGCAGAACTGGAATAACCTGACAGCTGTCGTCATCATGCAAAGTCCTGCCATGAAATTCTTCCATATCAGCGCCCAGATACTATTTAAGAACATACACAGATACACTGTCATTTTAGATACATAATAAAAATACAAACTCAAAAGACTAAAGAGCAAATCAGATTAAAAGAAATATAAACAGATGATACAAATATTTATTTAAATAATAAAGTAGGTGTATCAGCCTCCCACATGAAAATCTAATTCTGATTCTTAGGAGTGGAAGTTCTATTATTTGTGAAGAATGTCTCACAAATTCAAGAGCATTTTTTAGTTCAAAATATTTTTCTTTGACTAAGATAAGAAACATCTCTATGGTCACATATCACAAATGACAACTATAAGATGTCAGCACGTTAACTAACACCCTGGTACCAAGTAGCAAGGAGAGTAAGAAGTACTTTAGTAGCTCCATTATTAGTAGAAACATACAGAGGGTCACAGTTCTTCAAAGAATTATTCCAGGATATAGTACTGAACTGCTTGAAAATTAGTTAAGAATGTGTATCTACTGGCAAATAGCCCATGTTCTCATCCACAATTCCTACTGTGAGGTAATATCCAATAAGGTCAACCTCGGTCTTATTGTAAGGAACCTCCATCTACTGTTATGTGTCTATCTATTGTGTAAGATCTGTTACTACATTACATACTGTATGTGATGTTGGCAGACTGGTGTCAAAATTTATGACGTTTGGTTTTTTGGCTTCTTTGCTATCCTGGTCTTCAACTTCCATTTCAATTTCATCTTCTTCCTCACTCTCTGCTGTAAAAGTAGAAGATTATGAGAAAAAAAATGGATGCAAGAAAATGTCAAAGTGACGTTCCCCTTCGAATGCAAAATTCCTTCACGAGGATTCTGAGCCCATGAGAAGAGGGCTTCTTCTAAACACTACTCGCATGTGGTGATCTCTACATCCTGTGAAGAGGCAGCCAGAGGGCTGGGGTCTATGCCGGGTTCTGCCACTAACCACTTTTTTTTTTTTTTTTCCAGAATAGTTTAAGATTTACATAAAGATTGCAAAGATAGTACAGAGGTTTCCTTTTCCTGTAGATCTCCCCTCCACTTTCCCCTATAGCTAACATCTTCTATTAGTATGGTACATCTGTGTTCGCACATTACTATTAACTAAACCCCACATTTTACTTGGATTTTCTTATTTTCACCTACTATGCTTTTTCTGTTTCAGGATCCCATCCAGGCTAGCACACAACATTTAGTTGTCCTATCTCTTTAGCCTCCTTGGGGCTGGTTTCTCAAACTTTCCTTGTTTTTGATGGCCTTGACAGTTGTGAGGAGTACTAGTTAGGCATTTTGTACAGTGTCCCTCAATTAGAATTTGATATATTTCTCATGATTACACTGAGGCTATGTACTTTGGGGAGAAGACCACAAGGAGTTAAGGGCTGTGTTCATCACATCATATCAAGGGTGCATACTATCAATACGACTTATCACTGCTGATGCTGACCATAATCACCCGCCTGAGGTAGTCTTTGAAAGGTTTCTCTACTGTAAAGTTACTCTTTTCCTCCTTTCCACATTGTACTATCTGGAAGCCAATTAAGGAGCACAACACACACTTAAGAGGTGAGGGATTATGTTCCCTTGTCCTTGAAGAGGAAGTCATCTACATAAATTTAAATTCTTCAGTGTGCGAGATTTGTTTCTTCTCTCTTGCCAGTAGTAAACAACTTAGGGACCTTAGACAACTCATTTCACCTGATTATGCCTTAATTTCCACATCTGACAAATGACAGGCAGGAACAAGACAATCTCTAAGTTTCTTTCAAACTTTAAAGAGTTCTTACAGAAGATAGGAAGAAGGGAGGAAGGGAGGCAGGGAAGGAAGGCAGGCAGGCAGGTAGGCAGTCAGGAAGGCCCTTTAATTAAAATAGAAAAAGTTAACATTACCCAGCAAAAACATTTTCATAGCAGGGACATCACTTCCTTGGCTGTCACTATACTATTAAAAAATGAAATGTCTGTAATCATTTTCATTCCAATTTTGCTTTGGAATTTTAAATTTAAAAACAAAGTTCACATGGAACATAAAACATATTTTAAAGCTAATGTCTTAGAAAACTTCCCTCACACACACTTTTTAAATTATGAAAACTAGGCTGATCTACTTTAAAACCTTGATGTTATTAATAATAGAAAAAGCTATACCAAATAGGTGCTATTCTACTAAATGGGAGTCTGTCCTGTTGACGCCTGCTGTGGGTAAAATTCCAACCCTAGATCAGCAGTTTGCAACCAGAGGTGATTTTGCCCCTCAAGGGATATTTGGAAATGTCTGGAAATATATGGTTGTCACAACTAGGAGAGCCCTACTGGCATCTAGTGGGCAGAGGCCAGAGATGCTGCTAAACATCCTACAAGGATGCATCCTGCAGGATAGTCCCCCACAACAAAGAATTTTCCAGCCCCTCAAAATCAAAAGTGTTGAGGTTAAGAAATCCCGGCCTAGACAAACTGAATCTCATTTTTGACTTCATATTTCATGTACTTTTAAATGCCCCGAATACACTTCTAAACAGATAAAATGTAATTACAAAATTGTCATTTTATTTTGTGTATGTCACTATTTAAATCAAATTACCTCCAGCTAGGTTCCTGACAAGAAAAAAACAAGTATTTTTCAATATAGTAGTTGCCTTGGACTTTCTACTAATTCTCAGGAATTCCTAGATATAGGGATTGGTCAAAAAGAGTAACATAATTATTTCAACTTATATTTGAATGGTCAGTGGTCTAACACTTCATACATATTTTTGCTAAGAACAGAGAAGTTTCACCAAAAGTAAAAACAACAACAAAAAATCTCAACCAATTTCCTTATATACAGTAGCCTTTCTCATAAATATGGCCAAAACCCACTTCCCTCTACTTGGTTGTTAACTAATGTTTCCTTTGGCCAAGATGGATTCTTTGCATCTTAATTACTGAACTATTTCCTTATCACTTAAAGAGTATTGCTCTTCAAAACAACTCATACTACATGGGCTTATGGATGATCCAATGTTTCTTTACAAATAAAACTCATATGATTTAGAAAAGCTTTATTATTATATTACAACCTCTCTGGGCCTTCTCACTCCTGGGTTTTTTTTTTCTTTTTTAAAGATTTATTTATTTGAGAGAGAAAGAGCACACGCGCATGCGAGCGGGGAGCGGGGGGAAGAGGGAGAGAATCTTCAAGCGGACTCCTCGCTCAGTGTGCAGCTGACTGATGTGGGGGCTTGACCCAGGACCCTGAGATCATGACCCAAGCAGAAATCAAGAGTTGGTTATTTAACCAACTGAGCCACCCAGACACCCCCTCACTCCTGATTCTTTTCAACAAAACACACTGTGTTCAGAACTACCAGGGTGAAGTTTGATGACTCATCTCATGCAGGAGCACCACATGAATGCCAACAGAACATCAGTAACCTCCCTGAAACACTGGATTTGGCATGTTCAGAGTGGGGCTGATGTCTCTGAAATAAACAGCTCGGCTCTTCAGTCAAAGGCTGACACACTTACCTTTATGTCAATTCAGCTAGGTTGGCTTCAGGAACAACCACCGACTCTGACTCTGGTTTATTTTTACATAAAAGGTCCTTTCTATATGGTGGGCATGCATTCAGTCTTCTCCTTCAATCCCCACAACTCCCAGGGGACAAATTAATCCTTCAAGAAAAGCTTTCCTTGGGCAACTCCCTGTAACCCACAAATGTTTCTTAGCAACCCACAGAAAAAAGCCCCAACCCACTGGCAAGAGATGCAAGCTCCCCAACAAATTAGACTCAACCTACCTCCTAGGTCTTCTCTTCCACAACCCCAACCTAAGTGTATGCTTTTGGATGTCTCCAGATCCATTTCACAATGCTTTACCTCAATCCCTCTTTAGGACAATAATAGCATTAATTTATCAGGTCCTAAATCAACTACCTTTTGCTTCATAGAGATTATAAACCTCCTCAAGTACCAGACTGTGTATCATATCTCTTTTCAAGTCCACAGTAAGTGTGCCATCTAACTGGCACACAGTGAAGGAACTCAGCTAACAGCCCGTTTGTCTGATAGCCTCTTGAAAAGCATCACTGCTATAGCCTTCCATGACAATTTTGTACAATTAATTCATGCATTTTCTTCTGCCCAGGATTCTAATATAAAACCAAGGTCTAAATTTTCGTGAAATATAAAGGAAAAAAAGAAAACAATTCAACATCACATTCCTAGGTCTCTCTAATCAAGCATATTCTACTACCTGCTTGAGCTACATGCCTTGAGAAAAACATACCAATACTGCCTTGGCAGTGAAATGGTTAAGGGACATTGGCTATGCTGACAGAAAGACTAGAACCGAAGTTCCGGCTCTGCAACTGTGTCACCTTGGGCAAGTCACTGAACTAATCCGCTAATCCATTTCTCACCTACCAAATCGGAATCAGAAAAGTTATGTGGGGAGGATTAAACAGAGAAACGCATGCAAAGCGCTTACTGCAGGGCCCCTGACATGGTAAGTGCTTAATACTTGTTAGCTGTCACTCTTAGTAAACGAAAGAAGTCCAGAAAAGTAACGGCTGCTAACCTGTCCGGGTCCACCTTATCCCCTCCCTCCTTCGCCCTCAGTTTTAAAGCCTTTTCCTTGGACCCAAGTTCTGGACACACAATGGACGGAGAGGGAAGGGTCTCTGCCCTTGCGTACAGACCCCTCCCCGATCCAAAACCCTCGCCCTAAACTTGGGGCGACCCTGCAGGAGAGAGATGCACCGGGACTCGGTCGCTGGCCGGAGGCCTGACGTGCGGCCGCTTCCCGGGGCGCCCCGGCAGGCCTCAGTGCCCCCCGCCCGTCTCCCTAGCCCTGCCGCGCCGCTCAGGGCTCGAGCCTCGCCCCGTCCCGCCGCCGGGGACCGGCCCCGGGAGGTTACCAGGGAGGAGCGGCAGGTGGTTGCCCATGTTGTGCGCAGCGTCCTGCGGATCTCTCTCGCCGGCCATGTCTGTTTACCCGCAGAGGAGGCTGGGACAGGGCGGCGCCCGGGCAGCCCGGGGAGAGTCCGCACCGCGCCGCTGCAGCCGCGCACCGGGGCCACAGCGCCCTCTGGCGGCCCCCGGGCCTACAGCGCGCTGCGGGAAACGGTGCGGCAGGAAGGCGGACGCACCGCGGGGGCTGAAAGCTGTCCCGGTCACTCGTGACTTCCCTCCCGCCGCGGTCCTTGCGGAGCCCTCGCCTGGTTCCCGCCTCTGGCGTGACGTTTCACCTCTGGGGAAACTGAGGCTCGGGTCCTTGTCTCCACCTCGCGCTGAACGAAGGGGGCAGGGAGCAAATAGAAACCAGCTTATAGGGCATCAACTACAACTCTTTAAATACAAAGTATGCGTATGAAGACTGGGAAAATGCATCTGTTATTCCGAGGGCAGTGAGTTTATAGCTGATACTCTTCAACAAATCTCAGTAGTTTCCATATGTGTTCCAAAATTAACCTGCATTAATCAGAAGCAAGTGCTTGAAATGATGATTACACAGAATAGAAAAAGGCCTGTGATTCACTGGTAAGTAAGATTGTCTGAATGTAAAATAGCCGACTCATTATGACTTCAACTAAGTAAAAATTGGTTATTATATGGCAAAAGAAAAAGTAAGATATGTAACAACGAACATAATTATGTTACAGTAGTGGGGCTGTGACTGGTAAGATTTTTGTTTTGGACAGTGGACAAAAATTTTCGTAGTGTCTTTTCACCATCATTTCTTCTGTCACCGAGGAGAGCTGAAAAATCTTTAAGTGAAATCACTTATCTCGACAGGGTGGGAAGGGGAGGGGCTACGAGGAACCAGCGGCATTGCTCTGGAGAAAACAATAATAAATCTGAGATTTAAAAAGATGTTCAGAAAATGTGCCTCACGAAAAGTTAAAAGCTAAGAGCTCCTAATGAGTGATACTAAGGAATCCACTCTGTGTCATCCCGCCTTCTGTCCCCAAATCACTTTGTGGCCTTTGTAGAGTCATTTATGGCCTCTGTTTACCCATTTGCAAAATGAGATGTTCTAGTTAAAAATGTCTGCAATTTAATGACAGTATCACCTTTAACATTTGGGTTACTGGCAATTACATAGAATACATTATTGTGAGGGTTAGTGGAGTTAAGATGATCACTCTAGTCAGTTGAAGGGTGAGTCTATGCTGGAATGACAGAAAAGAAAATGCAGGATAGAATGATGACAGAATGGGTGGGGCGTGAGTGTCAGAGAGAGTGAACTTGGGGAAAGGATGAAAGCAAGTGTACAGATGTACATGTTTGATGCTGTAGCATTACCAACCTCACTATGGTTTATAGAATTTCAGTAAACTGCGCTTACCTGCACAAGACATTTCCTCTACAGGGGGAGCCCTGACCTGCCCGTGTCCCTCCCCAGAGGTGGCACCAAAATTGTGATCTGCACCCTGGGTCAACCAAAAACCCTGTGGACAAAAAAGGACAGCTGTAAGTCTGGCAGGGTCAGCAGATGTGGCTGGAAAAGCATTAGCTCATTCTGTCCTCTTTTGTGCCCTGCTCCTGGGTCATCGATGCTACCATCTGTGGATCTTTTACTCCCCGTTCACCTCCTTTTTCTCCCAACTGGTCCCATTCACCATCTGCGCCCTCCTTCATTTCGTCTTTCCAGAGTCTACCCAGTCATCCAAAGCTACATCTTTCAGTAGGGATGATAACAGATGATTACCGAACAAAAACATCTACGCAAGCAGGTTTCTTGGATTAAGCTTTGGTTATTAAAACCAAAAAGGAAAACATGATCATTCACCACTTATTTTTAATTCAGTAACTTTATCCTGAAACAAAGTATCATACTGAGTCCCTCACATCTCTTCTTGTTTGCATGGAACGTGTTCATTGATCAGGAGCTCTGCAAACCAGAGGGGAAGGAAATACATAAGTTCATAGATGGTTGCCTTGTAGCTCAAGAATTGACTTTAATAGGACATAATTAAGGCTGGTATTAGATGAGAGAAATGAGAATAAAAAAGCCTACTGCTGTTTCAATTTCTGGCTTCTGCACTTTATTAGCAGCAAGGGATACACACACTGGGAAGAGAAATTTCTGACTTCCTTCCTACCTTCCTTCCTTCCTTCCCTCCTTCCTTTTTTGTATTGTAGCTCTCTAGTTTTTTTTTTTTTAAAGATTTTATTTATTTATTTGAGAGAGAGAGAATGAGAGATAGAGAGCATGAGAGGGAAGAGGGTCAGAGGGAGAAGCAGACCCCCTGCCGAGCAGGAAGCCCGATGTGGGACTCGATCCCGGGACTCCAGGATCATGACCTGAGCCGAAGGCAGTCGCTTAACCAACTGAGCCACCCAGGCGCCCCTCTCTAGTTTTTTAATGTGTTGCAGAATGTTGCTACCTTGGTTGAAGCAGTCAATTATCTTTTGCCTAGATTATTGCAATAGCCTCAGTATTGGTCTCTGGCCTTCTACCCTTGTCCTCTACAGCTGGTTCTTAATGAAGCAGCCAGAACGATCCCAGGAAAGCACAAGTCAGATCATGTATCTCCCCTGCCTAGAACCCTTCCTTCACTCTCCATCACAGTGTAAGCCAATTCTTAACAGTGGCCTTATAATGCACAGTGGGCTTCTAGATCCTGCTCTGGCTCCCCTTTGCTACTCTCTCCGGGGTCTCACTACTTTCCATCAATCCTGGCCTTCATGTTTCACAACCGAGTAGGGGCCATTCCCACCCCAAGGTCTTTGCACTGGCTGTTCCATTTGCCTGGAATGCTTCCCCCCTGCCCCCGCCATAGACTCATGGCTTGCTCCCTTATACATTTAGGTCTTTGATCAACTGCCCCTTCTTGGGAAGTCCTTCCCAGATTAACTAGTATCTAACTGCAACCTGACCCCCAGTCCCATCATTCTCTATCCTCCCCCTCAAAAGCATTTGTCAACTTCTAAAACTAACCATAAGGATTCATTTTAAAAATTGCCCTCACCCCTCCAAGAATGTAAGCTCCTTGAGAGGTCAGATGTCTTTGCCTCCTTTGTTTACTCATGTGTTCCAAAGGCCTAGCACAGGGCTCGGAACTTAATAAGTGCTCAAAAAATATTTATTCATGTATGAATAAATGAATGAGTGAAGTGCTCAGTCATGTTGATTGACCTAACATTATTTCCTCTCTTCTTCCTTGCTAACAACCCTCATTTTTGGGGGGGCAACAGTGTGGGGAGGCACTGGCTGATGTGATGTAGAGAAAGTCTGCTGGGCAGCCAGGGAGCATACCGAGAAGACAAAGACAACTTCCAGACAAGATTTTCCTTCATGATTAAAGGATAAGATTTCATTCCTGCTCACTCCACTGTGATGAAAACTAAGCTCCAGTTAGTTTGATGGCTAAAACCAGCCCAACAGCCGAAAGAGTCTTGAAAGGAAATGACAGATTTTAGAGAAAGCAAAGTGAGATTTACTTGGAGCTATATTCTGTTATTTTTTAAAACGTCTGTTTATTAATGTTCGGAACGCTGGAATTACAACACGAGGAAAGAGTCTGGGGTAAATGAAGATTTTTGAATTTGCGCTTCTGCTGTGCTGGTCTTCCCCCCCACCCCCCCACTCCCACTTCTCTACCCCCTCCCCTCTGCAAGGCAGCTGTGGAAGGGACCGTGTACAGGATGCTGATGACAAGCCCAAGGGAACAGGAACGGTAGTGGAACTTTCTCTTCCTTCTCCTGACACAGTCTGGATGAGCAGGCCCTCCTTGGGGTTTCCTGAGATTTTTAAATTTAGCTCTTTCACGGTGTTTAAAAGCACTGGCTCTGGGCCCTCATGATCAATGGATATAGGGGAGTGACTGGGGCCTTGCAGCTGGGGTGCCCGTTTGGGGAAGAGGGGCCCAGGGTACCCACATGCTACTTCTCAGCTCTAGCCCCGCCTGCCTGCCCAGGTTCTTCTGAAGGTCACCTGGAGGTTACAGCCCTAGTGTCGGCTGGTCCCCAGGTGCATGGACAGGGCAGTGGGAAGGCCAGAGGCCCAGCCCATAAACTTGGCCCACTGTCACCCCCCGGCAGACAGCTGCTGCTAAATCTCTGCAGCCAGGCCCGAAGTGGCCTTCCCCAGTCGGACAGCAGCCTCCAGGGTATGGGAGGGTAGCCCTGCCAGCTGGAAGGGGAGGTCTAGGTGACCCAAGGGGAAGTGGCAGGTTTGTGCCCCCTCCTTGCACCTTTGTCCCCGGCCACCCAGCTGGCTGGAGACCTGGCATCGGGCTGGCAGGATGGCCAGCTGTCCGGAGGCTGGAAGGGCAGCCTCCTCGCAGCTGCGCTGTGCTTAGGAGATTTCCACCTGGCTGCTCTTCTTCCCTCCTGCTGTTTCTGCCATTTCCCAGGGTCAGTCTTGCCCACAGCAGGGTGGGCACTGTGGAGCCTCCGTGGGCAAGGGCCACAGCTGACATTTCAGTTCCCAGGTGAGAGCCCTAGCTACCAGGGCAGTGAATCAGGGGAAACCGGAGCCCAGGGAGCCTCCACACTGCCCTTTAAGCTGGTAGAAAAAGGGTGGTGTTTCATCCATTACCATTTTTAATTAAGAGATTAATTCATTAATTTTGGAACTGCATATGCCTTCCGGTTCTTTACTCTCTGGTGCAAAAGCACATGTGAGTCACAGATTTACCTTGTTCCCAGAGTCCTTTGCTGCGTCCATGCCACAACTCTGGCCTCTGCTCCTAAAAAAGAGGTCAAATACTGGTGACCTCCTGGCTAAAATTAGGAGGCTCCATTTGGTCTTTGTGATATCTTGAGTTTTTCAATTTGTGGGCAACATTTGGAAATTGAAAAGTACCCACACAAATATTGATTTCTTTTTAAAAAAAAAAAAATAGGAAGATTTGGCAGCTCTAGGTGAGATTCATGCAGGGGAACGGTTGTCTGGAAGGAAGCGACAGGTGCCTCATTTAGATGGGCAGCCCCTGTTGGCCAGAGACCCCAACTGACCAGTGTGTTACCTGCCCAGATCTGTCTGGCACTGTGTTTGC